GCGCCCGGCCAAAACTTTCATCTTAGATAGATACACCACCAGGGTTCATCAGGGACACCTTAATTATTTTAGCTGTCTAGGTAAATCAATTTCCCAATGGGAGGATATGGAATAGGGCGAAGAATTATATTTTGGAAAACAATCCATGGGAAATTAAGTAAAGTAGCCCAAGGTTTAATTTGGAAATGCAAATATCCATCGATTAGGTTTTCAATTATATGGACAATAAAAAAATTGAGGAGCAGAGCAGTAGAGACAGACAAAATTAAAAAGAGGAAAGAACAGCAGGGAGGGGCTTATTTTCATACATTATGCTAATTTACATTACACATTATATTAAAGTAAGGTGGTTTTCTTCATCCAAATTATTTCACCCATTTTAAACCATAAAACAATGGGGGTGAAATCTCATCTGCGCCATTTGATGTAGTCTTTCTGCGTCCCTTTCAGGAAGGAAGGTGCAACCACACAATGAAGACAGCCTGTTGCTTTCCTCGGTATGTTCACAGCAGGGATCAGGCAGCGACTTAACTAGACATGAAGTTTCCCCTTCTTCCCTCGGGTCTATTTGCCAAAGACCCCTGCACCTTTTAGAATTTCCTGAGGTTGGGCTGGTGGAGAGCAGAAACCCGGAGGCTAGATTCAGGAGACCTGGTTTCCCATGCCACTTAGTAGCCTGTGACATTGAGCACAATACTTAACTTTTTAGCGCTTCGGTTTCATTACTTGGGAAATGGGAACAATATATCTGTTTCATAAGATTGTTGTGAAGATGAAACAGGCCTGTGTGTGAAAAGCCCTTTCTAAACTGTAAAACGCTCCCCAGATGTTAGTTATTATCTCCTTTAAAGGGCACGGAATCTGTTTCAATAGTACCGGAGGTTGCAAAAAGGCTCCTTGACACTTTTTGCTCAGAACTTGACCCTGAGTTTAATCTCGCCATGAAGTGAAAGGGTTCCTGTGCCCCCCCCGCAGCCCGGGGCAGGGTCACCCTCGCGGCCGGGGCGGTCACTGCCGTATTCCGTCCTGAGCTGTCGCTCCCCCACGATCCTCCCACCAGTCCCGGGAGGGCCGCGACGTCCCTTGCAGCTTGGGTGGCGCCAGCTAGAGGGCGCGGGCCGGGGCGGAACCCGGTACCGCGGCTCGGGTGGCGGCGGTGGCGGCGGGCGAGGGGCGGGCCCTCGCGCGGAGGGCGTGGTCTGGGCGTCCGGGGCGGCCGGCGCGCGGAGCCTGCGAACCAGCCAGCCAGCGAGCGACGGGCGCGCGCGGCCCCTGCGCACTCGGCCGCCGCCTGCGCGCGTTGCGGGCGGAGCGGCACACTCGCGTCCACGGTTCCGCGGCCAAGCCCCGGGAGGACGCGCTCCCCTGCGCCGTCAGCACCCGCGCCCCTTCCCACCGCAACAGGTCAGGGGAGGGCGGAGGTGACGAGGGCGCCCGACCCGGGACTAGAGGACGGAAGGGTCTGGAAGGTGAGCGCAGCCCTGCGCCTCCCCCCCGACCCAGGGTTTGGGGTCTGTCCGTCCGGCCCCCGCCGCCGCGGACTTCTCGGAAGCCAAGGCTCTCCCCGCCTCTCTGCCGGCTTCCCAGCACGCTGACTCAAGTCGCTGGCGTTCCCACTTTTCCGGTGGGAGCCTTCGGGGAGAACGGGCGAGGGCGCAGAGCTCTCCCCGCCCTACTTGAGATCCCGCGGCAGGTAGCGCCTAGAAACACAGGGACGGGGACACGGGAAGAGACCCATGCTCCTCCCTCACCCCACCCCCAAAATCTAACGTCTGCCCGTGCACCCCGCGTTTCGCGGAGAGCTGTCCCGTTGTTGGAACCTGGTCCCTGAGTTGCGTAATGAAGAGTCCCAGAAGTTTCTCGGGGGGAGGGGGTGGGGAAAAGCGGGGTTCTTCTCTCCTGCACCCCGGGACCCTCCCCTGTGCCTGTAGTGGAGAGAGATGAGGGCTTCCCGTCGCGTCTCACTGAGCGCTGGAGGGAGGCGTGTGTCGGTGGTCCGCAGCCTTCGGAGAGCGAGGGGAGGAGTTGGAGACTGACTTCTGGGGCACAGGGAGAGGCGTCTTCAGAACATGAGACTAGTTAATTTCTCCTGATGATGCTTTTTTCCTTCGGGTGTCTCATCCTCTGGGACCTTGGCACCGCCAGCCCTCCGAAGGTGCGAGCCCCGGAGCCGGGGAATGAGGGGAGAGAAGGTGGGGAGTGTGAATCACACGTTACCTTAGCGTAATGGTAGCTACATTAATGGAGCTGCGACGGGCTTGCGGGCGGCTCGGTACTGTCCTGCTAGGTTTGTCTTCCAGGAGCTTCTCCACCACCAGCACCCCCATATTGTTATGCAAATCACCCCAGGAAGGCACTTGGCTTTGGAGGTGGAGATGTGTCCGAATCTCCCTTGAACCCGTCTCTGCTGGCGGAAAGGCATTGCAGCCAAGTGATTTGTTTTATTTAAGGGTGGAGCGGGGATAATTTGAACCCCCCTTGGTGCACTTTGTAGGTAGGGTGTGACTTATCACGGAGAAACCGGACTAATTTAAAACCTTCTATGCAAACCTGTAAATTAAGGCGAAGACCCAGTGTTCCCTGGTCCAGTTGCAAAGTGAGAAGAGCTCAAGAACTGAGGCACAAAAACATTAGGCGAAGGAGTCTGAGAGGTATGGAGAATTTTGCTTGTGCAAGATTATTTCCGAGCAAGGTCGTGCGGTGTGTGTAGAGGGTAGGTGGCGTGGGATACCTCTCTCAGACCTGCGTGGTGTCGGCCTCTGGGAGGGGATAAAAGGCACAAAAAAAGACCTTTGGACCCAAGAATCCAGTTTTTTTCTCTGGGGCTGAATAATATCTAGGCATGGCCCTGTTTCAATGTTTACTTCCTCTGTCTAATATATTTCCTTAGCTCGCCTTTCATCTTTAGTGGGAAGGATTCCTTTAGTGGATATTTTGGAAGTAGATTCACAGGAGAATGGAAAACTCTGGATGGTTTGCCTGCTTTAATTTCAAGGTGTTGTCCCTGGTGGATGTTGGAAAGTATTGTATTTGAATATTTGAAGATAAATATGCGGAAAAGCAGTGGTGAGAACTAAAGGAAAACGACCCAAGGGGAGACGAGGAGAGAAGGCAAGAGAATAGATAAGTAGTATTTAAAACTAGAGAAACTCATTTGAATTAAGCTATTTTTAAGGAGAGAAAGAACCAAGGAAATAATTTGGAGTAGATTTGGTCATTTCGAGACAAATAGAGATTGAAGAGTGGGACTTTTGGGGTAAATGAGTTTAGATATTGGAGACTTTTCTCAAATGTAACTTACAAGGTTGATGAGGCTGGAGATGTAGGACTTGCAGGTATGTTGCTGTGAATTCTTTGCTTTTCACCTGCAAGAATAAAATGAACTGTTAAATATTAATCTGCCTTATTCACTGTAACGATTGAATGTGTCTTTGGCATTTGCTTAACTTCAACTTTGCAAAAATGTGATTTTGAAGAATCACAGTGTGTTAAATTAGAATGCAAAGAACATTTAGAGATTGAGAATTTATGACGAAAGTCCAGGCCATTTTAAACATTGCTTTCTCCTACATCCATAACATGCATGCATTTTTTTTGCTACCAGAATCACTGGTCCACTATAGGGTAATAAGACTGTATCAAAACTGGCTGTCTCTTTTCTTTCCTCTCTGGCTTAACTGAATTTCACAGAGCTGGTTGAGCTAAAAGTTACTTTTTTAATTGACTGAGATACTTGCTAAATTAGGTTTTGTATTAAATTTGGAAGAGACTATTAAAATACATATATATCAGTTACATCTATCAGGCACCTCTACAAGTCACTTTATTTATTTTTGAGACAGAGTCTCCCTCTGTCACCTAGGCTGGAGTGCTACTGCTACTGGAGTGAGCACTATCATAGCTCATTGCAACCTCCAACTCCTGGGCTTATGGGATCCTCCCTCCTCAGCCTCCCAAGTAGCTGGGATTACTGGCATGTGCCATCATGCCTGGCTAATTTTTAAAAATCTTTTGACAGAGATTGGGGGGGGCTCCCTATGTTACCCAGGTGGATCTTGAACTCCTAGCTCAAGCAATCCTCCCAGTTTTGCCTCCCCAAGTGCTGAGATTATGCGTGGAAGCACCATCCCCGGCCTACAAGTCATTTTAGCCAGGTGGTTGTTGGGTTGAAGTTGCATATTGCTGTTGCCTTGAAAGTTGAAAAGATGGGTGAAAAAAATAAGCTCAGAAAATGTAAACTTGTTTTCAATATTTTTTGAAAAGCCAGTGGAAGGTATTCTGTGTTCAACTCTGTGTAATTTGTGGGCCCAAATTTCCTTTATTTCAAGACTCTAGACCGTTAACTAACTTTTCAGGAGATTGAGAAAGTATGTTGGAGAGAGTACAAATTAAGCAACTTCATTGGGGCCAGGCGTGGTGGCTCATGGCTGTAATCCCAGCACTTTGGGAGGCTGAGGCGGGCAGATCACTTGAGGTCAGGGGTTCGAGACCAGCCTGACCAACATGGCAAAACCCCATCTCTGCTAAAAATACAAAAATTAGCTGGCCATGATGGCTTGAGCCTGTAACCCCAGCTACTCAGGAGGCTGAGGCAGGAGGGTGGCTTGAATCCCAGAGGCAGAGGTTGCAGTGAGCTGAGATGGCGCCACTGCACTCCAGCCTGGGTCACATAGCAAGACTCTGTCTCAAAAAAAAAAAAAAGGCATTTTCCTTATTAAATGATAAATTCAACAGTAGTTTCTCTTCCCAAGTGATACTTAATTGGCAGTTGCTTTTGGGTAGTCTCTTTTTTTAATACACAGTAGAAGCTTATTTAATATTGTTAATTTGGATCTTAGATTTTATTAAAATAGATTACATAAACTCTGTAATTCACTTATTAAAATTCCGCCACAGCATGGAAATGTGAAATAGTGGCTCTTTGTAAGTACACATCCATTATTCCTGATTGTTTATATCTGGACAACAGATTGCTATAGACTTGACACCAGGAGACCCCAAGGTCATCAGGGTTACTAATAGGAGTTTCTGTGGTTTGCCTTAGGACAGAACTTTGGTAGTATTCCCGAAGGGAAGAAACTCCGCTGATTTTCTTAAATTATCTGGCCCATTTTAAACATGACTAAGGATTTCTTGCTGGAGTGACTTTTTCCTATAAAAAGACTGGGATTATTGTAACAAATAGTGCTTGAAGGAATCAATTACATCATTAATATATCTCATATTTATTCCTAATACCACATAAGTATTGAGTACCTTCTGTGAGCCAGAGAGTATCCTAAGTATTGGAGAAATTGTGATGGTAACATGATCAACAAAGAGCAAGGGCCTGTGCAGGTGGAACTAATGCTGGCTCTTAACTGTTTACCAACAGCTTTCACATGGCATAATCATTTAAGCCTAATTGCAACTTTGAAGTTGGAATTCATTTTCCATTTTAAAATCAGGAAATTGAGTTGAAGAAGTTAAGTGACTTGACTCTGTGACTCAAAGCCTGGTGCCCTTTCTGCTATGGTACACTGTGTTGGCTATGTTGATATGTGGTTTCCTGTTTTTCAAGAATTACAGATTGACTCTAAAATATAAATAGTGTTTATCCTTGGGTAAGTAATTCTTTCTGATCATTATGGGCATAAAAACAAGTATTTTCATTTAGGATTTGAACATTTGTGCCTCCAAAGGAAAAAATTATGCAGACCTATTTAACAGACACACGGTATTTATTTGCATTAGGTAAGAATCCTTACCTTCCTAAAATTTAAATACAGGGCATTGCAGACTAGCTCTCTTAGTGCATGAAAACTATTATTCAACTTGTGAAAGGTCAGTTCATAAATTTTTGAGAGCATATCCGTATGTAAATCAGGATATACTCATACCATTTCCTTCTCTCTTATAGATACAGTGAGTATGTGCAGTCTGGCAGTAGTTTTCAGACCTGTAATATACTCCTGGAAGGCTTGTGAAAACACAGATGTGCTCCTCTTACCCATCCCCCAAGTTTCTGATCCAGCAGGTCCAGGGCAGTGCCCGAGAATTTGCATGTGTAACATGTTTGAGGCTGATATTGATGCTGTTATTTCTGGAACAATGCTTTGAGAACCACTGCAGTGTAGCAGAGAGTTTAAAAAGGTTTCTGAGTCAGACAGCTTGGGTTTGAATCTTGGATATGCTACCTACTAACTGTCAGACCTTAGGCAAATTACTTTTTCTTAAGATCTATGAAGGCTGACTGAGCACTGCTGCTTATGCCTGTAATTCTAGCACTTTGGGAGGCAGAGGCAAGAGGATCATTTGAGCCCAGGAAATTTGAGACTAGCCAGGGCAACAAAGTAAGACCCCTTCTTTAAACACCACCACCACCACCTGTGAAGTCTGAGGTTTCACTCCACTCTCAAGCTAACAAACTAACCTGCCACAGTTTCATGGACCCCTGGGTTAGAAGAGAATGACTTTATCACTCATCAAGATACCTATAGCCAGAATATCAACATTTTCTACTTTCCTAAGCCCCAGTTTTCCAAAGGGTTATGTGAAGAGAGGAAAAGAGCCAAGTGACATATGCAAAAACAGTGGGTTGCATTAACAGGAAGGGAATCCTGAGTGTAGGGAATCCTAATTTTTTTTTTTTTTTTTTTTTTTTTTTTTTTTTTTTTGATGCAGAGACTCATTCTGTCACCCAGGCTGGAGTGCAGGGTGCAATCTAGGCTCACTGCAACCTGCGCCTCCCAGGTTCAAGCAATTCTTCAGCCCCGGCCACTTGAATAGCTGAGATCACAGGTGGCTGCCACCACGCGTGCACCACGCGTGGCTAATTTTTTGTATTTTTAGTAGAGATGAGGTTTCACCATGTTGGCCAGGCTGGTCTCAAACTTCCAACCTCAGATGATCCATCTGCCTCAGCCTCCCAAAGTGCTGGGATTACAGACATGAGCCACTGCAGTGGCCTCCCTAATCTTCTATAATTGTTAGTAAGCAGATCTGCTTTTCACTCCACTGGAGATTTTATCTCTTCCCCCCACCCCCCATCTTTAGAATCTGTGAAGGGAGAGGCAGGGCGTGGTGGCTCATTGAGCCTCTAATCCCAGCCCTTTGGGAGGCTGAGGCAGGTGGATCACTTGAGGTCAGGAGTTTGAGACTAGCTTGACCAACATGGTGAAATCCCGTCTCTACTAAAAATACAAAAATTAGCCAGGCATTGTGGTGGGTGCCTGTAATCCCAGCTACTCAGGAGGCTGAGGGAGGAGAATCATTTGAAACGGGGAGGTGGATGTTACAGTGAGCTAAGATTGAGATTGAGACACTGCACTCCAGCCTGGGCCACAGAATGTGACTCTGTCTCAAAACAAACAAACAAAAACCTGTGAAGGGAGAGTTTTATCTTGATTATACTGCATAATAAACATGTTGCTCTTAGCTCTAGGAACTATCCCTATTTTCCAAGGCTGTTCACCATAGAAACGTTTTTAAAGATAATTTGGAACAGCCAGGTGCATTGGCTCATGCCTGTAATGGCAGCACTTTGGTAGGCTGAGGTGGGAGGATTGCATGAGCTTAGGAGTTTGAGACCAACCTGAGCAACACAGTGAGATCTCGTCTCTAGAAAGTAATTTATTTAAAAAATAGCCAGACATAGTGTTGCGTGCCTGTGGTCCCAGCTACTTGGGAGACTGAGGCCAGAGGGTTGTGTGAGCTTTTACCTAGTCTACAGTGAGCTGAGATCCTACCACTGTACTCTAGCCTGGGCAACAGGGCAAGACCCTGTCTCAAAAAAGATAATCTGAAACAAAACAAAGACAGTTGATGCCTCTTCGTAAAAATATGCCCAGATACCACAGACCCATGGAGAAATTGTCTCTCAAAACCTTTACAATCCTCAGAGAGCTGGGGACAGGTGTGGTGGCTCATGCCTGTAATCTCAGCACTTTGGGAGGCCGAGGCGGGTGGATCACGAGGTCAAGAGATCGAGACCATCCTGGTCAACATGGTGAAACCCCATCTCTACGAAAAATACAAAAAATTAGCTGGGCATGGTGGTGCGCACCTGTAATCCCAGCTACTCAGGAGACTGAGGCAGGAGAATTGCTTGAACCCAGGAGGCGGAGGTTGCGGTGAGCTGAGATCGCGCCATTGCACTCCAGCCTGGGTAACAAGGGCGAAACTCTGTCTCAAAAATAAATAAATAAATAAATAAAATGGAGTGAGCAATATAGCAGTATCTCCTTTATTCAGTGGTTGAATAGATTAAAGGTACTAAGATTTAGCAAGTTCTTGGAGCAGAGCATAGTAAGTGCTACATAAATGTTTGTTATTATTCCTGAAGGAAGAAATTGTGTTCTTAGTCTTTTTTTTTTTTAATGGTAAATATTGTCTAATAAGTAATTGGCTTACTTTGAATAAATTGCAAACTTTGAGTTTGTTCTAAGAAATTTTTGTAAGGGTCCAAATTCTGAAATGGGAACAATGCCTTGTATGATATTTTACTGGCCCACAGGGAATGGGGCAGACACATTTTCCACCAATATCCATGTGCTTTTCTGTGTTTCCCAGCTTCTTTACGATTATACAGAATTAGGTGACTCATCTGTCCAGGTAAGCAATGAGTCACAGATGAGCAATAAACATTTA